TCTTGATGCATAAAAGCTTCAATGTTTAAGAAAATGCCTTTTTTGGAAGGTACCTTAAGATTCATTGAATTCAGACACATCTCTTAATCCACCCATCCATTTTCTAACTGCTTTATCCAGTACAGGGTCTTGGTGGAGCCAGGGCCTATCCTGGAAGCAGGATACACCCTGGGCAGGTTGCGAATACATCACAGGGCAAACAAAGACTGACACAAGCACACACAAACACTCACACCAGGGGCAGTTTTCCCCAGAAGTCACTGAACCTACCAGGCAGCCTTTGGACTGCAGAGCCTTTGGAGGAAAGCAGAGCACCTAGACAAAACCAGTGCAAAAACACGGGGAGAACATACAAACTCCACACAGACAGCACCCCTGAGATGGAACCCAGGGCCCCAGCACTGTGAGCTAGATCTCCTAACCATGCTAATCATATGCCATAAAATGTCTGACTTCAACAGCATAAACTAAAACGGGAATAATCTTATTAATAGTGTGTTAAGTGGGGCTGTTTGCTGTTGTTGTTGTTTCTTGTAATTCTAATTAAAAATTGTAACTAATGATCTAAATATATCACATTGCCTTTTTTATCAAATTTGTCTGATGACATTTATTTTTTACACCCCGCGTGTAGCAGTTGTCACAATGTAACATATTGTGCCTTGAGAAGCAAGGACACAATAACACAGTTTGATGCTTGTGTAGGTAGTTAAATGACAGACCTGTGGAATGAAAGGCAGCACCTGCAGGTGGAAATAGAACTAGCTTCTGGAATTTGCTGTTAGCACTGGGTCTATCGTCTGATTTAATTTTAGCCAGGATCTAGAGAAAAATATAGCTCTTTTACTGAGAAATCACACACACAGGGTCCTGTTGCTCTGCTCCATCTCAGCTGTCCTGCCAGGAGCTGCCATATGGCACTGGGTTCAGTGAGGAGGCTCCATACTGCTCGCTCGCAGCCTGCAGTGGCATTATTCAGATCCGACAATCACAAGGCAAATACCGTAATACCCTTCGTAAGGTTAATCAAAAGTATCACTGAAAGCAGTGAAACCAAACTGGCCTGGAGCTTTCCCACCAAAGGTCTACTTATAGTATTTCAGATTTATCTGGCATTTTGAACAATCCTGAACTTATTGGGGAAAAAAGGCCAATGAGACATTCCTGCAAGTGCAGGCACCTGTATTTCAACACTGCCAAGCTGCCCAGACTTTGGTAGCTATTTTACCCCACCATGAAGTGTCATTCTGGGTCTCCAGACGATCCTCACCCCTGCTTTCTTTAGGAGCTCCAAGGTCTTTGGGTTAACATTCCAACCGAGCCTTCAATTACGTATCTGAAGAGTGTTTCTCTGTGACACACAACAAAGGGAAAATGACAGCCGACACCAAAAACACCTGAAGGCTGTGGGCGGACCAGGACCAGGCCTAGAGGTCATTTCTTACTGTCCTACCTCCCTCTCGATGAACTCCACAGCTCGCGATGAAATAGCTTGCCATTCCAAGATGCAAATCCACAGTCAGCAGAAAGCCCCTCTCTCTGCCCTGCAAAAGTATTCAGACCCTTCCTATGGGATCTCAGCGTGTGAACTTAAAATATATTTTCTTTATAAACTGAATGTGAAAACTGAAGAGCTTTCTTTGAATGATGCATTACAAGAAAAGGCAGAAAAAAACGGAACTCTATCCGGCAGAAGCACCTTTGGCAGCAATTACAGCAACAGGTTGTCATGGGTAAGAAGTCATTACCAACTCTGCACGCAGCTTTGGGACGGATCTTGGTAAATATAGGTACTTTTGCTCAGGTTCTCTTGCTTATGGACAGAAGTCTTCATGTCTAACAAGAAATCTTCAATAGGATTCCAGTCAGGAGATGAACTGGGCCAGTCGTGGAAGTTCACTTTTCCTTACACTTGACTTGTAAGGAAGTCACATTTGACATGTCTTCAATTCCACACCAGCCTCCTTTGTGGAGTAACTGGGATATTGCTGACCCATCTTTCTTCCAGTGAACCAGTCACTGCGCCACAGAACTCTGTTACTCTTTCAAAGCTGCAACTGGCCTCACAGCAGCATCCTCAACCCTGTTTTGCTCCTTAACAATGCTTGTTTTGGAGGGACAGCCTGATCCATTTTTCCCAATAATCAATTTCACCACGGTCAAAGATATGCTCTGTCCCTTCATACAGCTTTATCCCCGAGTTGTTCTCAAAGCTCTTCGGCTTTCATGGTCAAGTCTTTGCATGAATTTTACTTTCCGACCGAGGGACCTTACAGAGACAAGTATATCCTGAAAACATATGAGCCACTATTATTGAAAAGGGACAGAGGCCACACAAATTATTTTGTGGCTCATAAAGGTAATTTTGTGCACCAAAATTCATTAAGATTTGACACAGCAAAAGTCTGAATACTTATGCAATCAGGATTCATTTCCTATTTACTTCTTTTTGCTTTTTGAATTGGAATGCACAGAGAGGATTGTGTGAGTTACAAATATTCAATGCTATTCCAGGGTGCCATCACTGCAAGCTTTAAAGTGTAGGATCTGTGCAGGGGTCTGGATACTTTTGCAAGGCGCTGTGATCATATTTCTAGCAGCACGTATCTTTAGGTAACATGAGGGTTACAGAAAGCACCTTTCATGTTGCTCCCTAAGGTCTGGGACACTCCCGCCAGCCACGATGGAACAGAACAGACTGAGCCACCTGAGAGTCATCTCTCACTCTCATTTCAAAGTCCACTTCCACTCCAGCACCAGCTTAATAGGATCTAGACCTTTCAAGCTTCTAGCCTCAGCTGTTCACATCCTTTCCTTTCAGCAGTTATAAAGACAGAGCCCGAATCACGCAGCTGTACTGAAGGCTGGATCATGGCAGGCAACGGGAACGGAGGGCTAAAATCAAAAGGAACTGAGCATCCTGTTTTATACAAATAAGAAAAAAGAGCACACCAAATCTGCTATACAGATCAATACGCAAAACATGAGACTACATTAAAACACAACACCACCATCCGGGTTTATTAAACAAACGGTCAACTGCACCCGCTGACATTCGCCATTGTCTTTCACACACACGAACAGAACTCTACTGTCAAGCTTGTTTTCTGGAATCTCTGCTGTGTTCATCCCTTATAACCTTAAACTTCCACATCTAATGCGATATATGAATGCGAGCTGCACCTGTGTTTAGCATTGTTTATCTCATTGGTTAAAGTCTGCTCTTTGGAATCTAAAACTTCCACAATGTCCTGCCTAGTCCTAATAAAGCTGAATCTAAAAAGAAAAGAATTAACAGGTAAAGAGGAACATTCTGCTGGTCTTCCTCCCTCATTTACACAGCTACATACACACACTGCACGGTCTTTCACAAACTCATACAAACAGTACATTGGCCCACACAGAACACGCTTTGATAGAAAGACCAATGGAAAAAAAATGTAGGAAATTAATGCAAGGTTCAATGATTCCCTACTTTAATAAGGATAAGGGTTTGCAAACTGTGATCTTCCTTCCCCCCACAACATGATCACAGAAGTTGGAGCTAACTTCCCTCCATTAAAAAGGCAAACAGTGTTCAGTTGAGCATTGTTACTGACACGGCAGGCAAGGTAACTAAGGATCCAAGATGTCAGAGTTTCAGAACGCCTTGGGGCATGGAGACGGAGACAAACAACATGAGAGTGCAGGCTGGGGTGATGAGACTCACGTGAAAGGGGTTATATATAGGCCACAAAAACACCACATAGACACAAAGCACATAAAAAGAATGACCTTGCAACAACCAAAAATGAAGCCCACCACTGAAACATGGAGTTAACTTTGAGCCCCCAAAGCAGGGATTCTTATCTGGATCCTGTATGTGCGTGACACAGGACTCAGAAGATCAGAGTTGAGGCACCTTCCAGAGCTCACTATAACTGGAAGTACCTGCTGTAAACCAAGGCATCTCAATTACGGTCCCTGTAGACGTCCACACCTGCTGCTTCCATTCCAACTAAGATATCGGCTACTTAACTGAACCCTTAGATCATGGGTCTCCAGCCCAGGTCCTGGAGGGCAGGTGTGTCTACAAGTCTTTATTGCAACACAACCCTAATCCAGCTCCTCAATTAGACCGCTATCAGCTTATCCCTGCTCTTCAGGTGCTGGTACTTTCAAGAGATCTAGAAATCCTACATGGAAACCAGCCTCCAGGATCAGGAATGGAGGTCTGTGCAATAAATTAACTAAAAGGCTACTTACAACATTTAATATCTAAACGGAAACCTCTTACATGCTTAAAACCTGGATCCAAAGCTTGAAATTAAGTGATTTGATAGAACTTTGATTTCACTTTGTACCTGAAAGCTCCTTGAAAACTACAGTTGGGAACAAAAGCTTTAAACTGGTACAAACAAGTTACTATGTCCAAAATACATTGTTAATTTTGATGCTGTAATGTACAGTTCTGATATAAATAGGTATCTTTTCCACAGAAAAGATAATTCAGTGGAGAATTAAGGGGTACCTCTACTATACTTTGAACTAAATTGGAGGTCCCTGCATAAAATTAACTAAAAAGTTACTTGCAAAACATGCTTAAAAGCCAGGACTAAAAGTCTAAAAGTCAGAATTAAGTTGTTTGATCAATCATTTTATCATTTTAACACAATAAGCTTTAAATACTGAAAAGGCTTGAGTAAAACTTAAAAGCAAAAAACAAAACAATGTAAAATCCAGACAGTACAAGAGACCTGTTTCCTTTTCAAAACATACTATATCACCAAAACTACAAATGCAACCCTTCGGCAATCGGGTTCTCTTTCCCGAGAAGAGATATTTTCAAAAATCTAGCAATTTAATACGTTTTAAATCCCCGAGACTGCTAACTTCTTGGAGTATCTGAACATTACAGGCCGCCGTTTCATGCCGCATTCTGCTGACAAGTTCCGGGTTTCCGACCAATGAGAATGAGCCACAACAGAAGACTCTTCTCTAACCGGCTTCTTCGCTGTAGCAAGACGTGAGGGGGAGGGGGGTGTTTGAGGGGGAGACCCAGCTCTCTAAATACAACCACTAAAAAACATATCCAATCAATAAAACGAAGTGAATTCAGTAAAGATCGTCCGTCGCCTGGCCATGGTGTGCTGAGCTGTGCTGACACTCTGTGTGAAACGTGAATTCGGGCGCACACCTGCAGCGCTGTGTGAAACCTTGTCAGCAGCAAACTAGAAACTTCAGATAAGTTTCAACTTCCAAGCTGCAAAAGGTAATACAATCGCAGCCTCTCCGACGTGTCTCGACACTTGCGCTGCTGTGGCACATCACCCTGGCTGCCTTTTGTAGATAATTGGTACATCTGCATAGTGAAACGCTTCGCGAATGCTGCACTCCTGCTGTCAGCGAAACTGAAATCAACTTGTGAAATCCATATCCGTCCCCACAGGAAGTCAGAACCAATACAGAAGTTATGCATCGTGTGTCTTCCAATTTAATTAAACTAATTTCCTTTCTAGGGGGAAAATCTCAGGGGAATTTTACATCCCAGATTCACTACCTTCCTTAGCGAGAACATCGCAATGGTATAATCGAAGACTTCAAATGGATTACGAGGCTAGCCGTTTTAATTTGACAAAATCTGAATAGCATAAATATATTTCTTCCTGATGGTTTTGCTCCTGATGCATAACAAGCACTGCAGAAAGGAAAGAGAGAAACACACTTCTATACACAAGCAACCTGAACAAAATAATAATAATAATTCCGCAGAACGCTGTAAAACGACTTTGATTCTACCCACGACCTACGAATAAGTCAACCAGAGCCAGTATCTCACTTCTGTTCGTGTATCGATCTTTATTTTTAACTTGTCCTGTAGGCCACGGTGTGTTCAAACACCCTTTTTTCCTTCAGCCGGTAGAGCTCAGCTCAGCTCTCCAGCGTGCGTACACATTCACACAACATTTCAAAGGCAAAGGATGAACAGCGGCTCGATAACTATAATACGAAGCGACTCCACCTACCAGTAATACTGTAATGTAGTGGAAGTCTGGAGAGGGTAAAATTGCAGTAAGTTTCATGGTATAGTAAAGTCAGTTGAGGTTACGATGTTGTTTTATCTTCCTGGTATCTCTCTCCGTACTACCTCCAGTCTCTTGTAGCAGGAAACGAATAGCAGGGTCCTAAACCGGGGCCACAGCTACCTGGGCGACAGTTCCGGATACTTTTCACTGAAAAGATGGGAATTGTAGTTTTACTGATGACTCGTAGATTTTCCGTCATCGTGCATGAAACCACAAATCCCAGAAACATAGCGGCCTTCAAACGCTTTCACTGCTCCTAAGGCTCGAGGGAAAAGGAAATTGGAGTTTGTAGTCTTTTAAGATTTAAAAACCCAGATGTGATTCTGGTACTAGTAAAGTGCTTTGGGACGAACTATAACTCCCAGAGTTCAGCGGGTGTGTGTGTTTTCAATCGTGGAAAAGACTGTGGAAGAGAGAAAATTTGATTTTTTTGAAAGAACATTGTTTGTACTTTCTGTATACATGATGACTCGTTCCAGTAGTTTTCCCTCTAAGACTGTCTGGTGAGTTACATGAGCCGGCGCCGGCGGTGATGCAGACATTACCTAATTTTAGTAAAGATCGCAAAAAAATGTGTATTTGGTAGCTAGAGAGACAACACAAGTTTGAAGAAGAAGCTATTACTGCTGGCTAAGTTTAGGTTTGCATATGTAAGATTCAAGGATCACTTCGGGATAAAATTGTTTCATTGTAATTTCTTGTTTTATTTCTCCTTTATCCGCTATTAGGATAATTGGCCTGGTCATCTTAAACTGAAAGTGAAGTATTGCTGCGGTAATACACCATTTCCCGTCTACTTAATTTAGCATGCCTGTCTCTTAAAATATCCCTCTCTTCCTGAACATACTCTACAGCTGCCTCTAGTTACTTGGTGCTGTAGTACAGAGATAGATGTCAGCAAGAAGAATGCCGATAAAGAATTTCTTTACCCGGAGGACCTGTGCAGTGTAGGTTTTTAGAAAGGGCTTTAGGTGACCACTTTTGCATCATCAATACTGCCTTTTAACCAGATGCCCTCAGATCTCTGAAAATTAGCAGGGCTGGGCCTGATCAATGCTGGGACGGGCCACCTCTGAGGAAAGGTAGTAACTGCTGGAAGTGGGCAGTGGTGGACCAGTAGGGGAAACTTTTTCTTCTTGACCATCATTTCAAAAAACCAAGCCCCGGGATAGTGATCGGTGACCCTGTCCTGTAGGAGGTGCAGTCCTTTGGAGATGGGACATGAAATTCAAGTCTCATCTGGGTGGTCATTGACGATCCCATGGCACTGTTAATAAGAATGTTGACACTGGAGCTGGAGCTGAATTGCATTCTGGGATTGCACAGTGTCGTCCACCCAAGTCTCCCTCTTTCATTCTGGTGTTGAAGTGATTCTTCCCTGCTCTGCTGTGTAGTGAGGCTGCTGGCACAGAATGGCTGTGCAGCTGTCCTTCAGTGGTGGAAGTGGGTTGAAGGGCTCTTCTGTATGTCAAGTGCTTTGAGATCCTGTGGGATGAAAAGGTCTGTACAGTAGAAGAACATTTCTATAAGAACTATATATACTACAAAAACTACACGAAGTGCAATTAATTATTGTATTAGTTTATTTATTTCCATCTTGTAAGTATATATATGTGCTTGGAATCAAATCAATTACTAGGTAGCTTAGATCCTCGATTTCAAAGAAATTACAAGTATGCTCAAGTCTCATTTTTGCTTCTCCAATGACTTTCAGTAGAATACACACTGCCTAAAGATTCACATCATGAAATAACATTCAAAATGAATTATTGACAGGCCGTGCCTACAGGTGAGGTGTGCTTAAGTGCTCTGTTCCTGTTTAGGATGGACAGTTTCTCTCCGAGTGGGAATGGGGTGCGCAGCTAGGCTGAAGATGGAGTGAGGAAAGAAGCTGGAGCCGAAGTCAACACTAAGTCATGGTGAGGGACAGTTCTCCTGTTTTTCTGGCTATTTGTCTCACCAGCTTTCATCTGAGTTGTTTGTGTGTTAAAAAGAAGGAAGGGAAGAAACTTTCTAAGTGCAAGATGAGATTTAGTGTATTTTCAGGCTGTGATTTTAAAGGTGACCAATCAAATGTGTTTCGTGACTCTTGGCATGAGTGTTAACTTCGTATTTTACGAGGTCCTTTGGTAGTCTTAGCAAAGACTTCTTTTTTAACTGCCTGGTGTTTTTGGAATATAAGCACAGAAACGGGGGGCTCACAAAAAAATGGAACAAACAAAAAGGGGGTTAATAAGCAGGTTCGGTAAAACAATATTTACTGCGCATCATAAAATAGAGAGATAAATGATACAGATTTTGCATATTGATTAAATGTAGACAGTCTGTGATAATCTTTAGTGAGTCGGATTGTTGCATCAGCACAAAATCACCTTTGTAGCGAGTGTGTCAATGGGGAATGTGATCAACATTTAACCTTGTTGAATGTCAAGCCTGGTGAAAACCAAGAAAGAGCAGGAAGGGACCAACATGCTCTGCTTCCAAGGGAACAGCGCCTATGTGCCATTAGTACATGGTAGACTCACGGCTGCACAAGTCATCGCGCTGTTGCTTGGTGGCTGAATACATTAACAGTAATTAATAATAATAATTGCTTACAATTATACAGCGCTTTTCTGGACACTCCACTCAAAGCGCTTTACAGGTAATCCCCTCCACCACCAGTGTGCAGCCCCACCTGGATGATGTGACAGCAGCCATAGTGTACCAGTACACTCACCACACACCAGCTATCAGTGGGGAGGAGAACAATAAAAGCCAATTTATAGATGGGGATTATTAGGAGGCCATGATTGGTAAAGACCACTGGGAAATTTGGCCAGGATACCGGGGTTACACCTCTACTCTTTTCGAGAGACGCCCTGGGATTTTTAATGACCACAGAGAGTCAGGACCCCGGTTTTACATCTCATCCAAAGGATGGCGCTGTTTATAGTATAGTGTCTCCGTCACTATGCTTGGCCATTAGGACCCACGTGGACCGCAGGGTGAGCGCCCCCTGCTGACCCCACAAACACCTCTTCCAGCAGCAACCTTAGTTTTTCCCAGGAGGTCTCCCATCCAGGTACTGACCAGGCTCACACCTGCTGAGCTTCAGTGGGCTGCCAGTTGTGAGCTGCAGGGTGATATGGCTGCTGGCAAAACCTCACGCCCTGAGTAGGACTCGAACCTCTGCTTCCAGCATGCGAGTCGACACCAAAGCCATTATGCCAATGCGCCTGCTCAGACAATTTCTGTCCTGGAACAGCATTACAGCCTGTCATAGTCCGTCAAGTCATGTGAGGCTATGACTTGTGAGAGAGAGTCACTGTATCTTGCCTGGGTTGATGAGAGGGTCTCAGTGTGATGGTCTGGCCAGGAGTGTCTGGTCGGGTCATTACAGGACAGTGTTTTTAGTGATTGATTGCACCCCAAATGCACAGCTCAACACTGTTCCGAGCCTTGGGGCTCATCTGGATGTGGCAACATTCTGGAAGGGCACCCACATGCCCTCATGCTCCTCGGGTAACAAAGGCTTTCTTGCAAGACGGGAATGTGGGACTTGTGCTGTTGCTGCTCTGCCTGCCAGACCAGAGCCTCATTGAACACCTGTGGGATGAGCTGGGATCATCTAGGCTTCAGAGACCAGTGAACAGGCGAATGCATTACCAGTAAGGTGTGCAAACTTGTACCAAGCATGCTATGCTTGAGGTAGACGACTTGCATTGCTCTCAGTGATGGTTAAGGACACTACTAGGCTGTGATTTGCACAGTCGAGCCAGTGTCGATCAGTCCTGGTGATGACCACTGTTAATGGGAATTTCCTATTTCCTAATAGGAAAACGTTTTCCTACCTCTTTCATGTCATGCTCAATAAAATGTCAGTGCAAAAAAAAAAGTAATCTTCCCGATAACTTTGTAAATCTGCTGCAGTTATAAGCAATGCATTTTTTCTGATACTTAGTATATGCGTCCATGCCAACACCATTTTTGCATTCAATTGTACTGTTTGCCTGGGCAGCCTGCTTCAATGAAGGACTCCACTAAATCAACAGAATCAAGTTTGATTTAGAGGTATCTCAGACTCCGTAACAGTCCTGCAAAATCAATTCTTTCGGCTCGAGCCAAATGTTTTGCAGTAGAAGGCATCGTGTCTGACAGTAACCTGAGAGCTGCCACAAAGCACATTGCAGCTTGTTGGCACAATCGCACTAGTTTGTTCAGAGAGTTATAAGTCATCTGCTACCAGAAGCGCTCTGTCAAAGGTCACGTACAGGGTGGTAACATGGTTGTCCCATACTGCACCTAATCAGGAATCAAATCAAATCAGAGTTTATTTATCAAATGCACAACAATCCAGGGTCCAGCAGTAGTTGCTGGCAATGAAATGTATTTTCTGCGAGTTCACAAAAATCACAAGAATCACAAAAATCACAAAATCTGTCTCTGAGCTGGAGGCCGAAACACCAGCCTGTGAGTCAGAAACCTTTTTTTAAAACTTGCTAAATTGCTAAATTCATTGCTTAATGTATAATGCAGTTTAATGCTAAAAATATCAACCAGTATGTTTAGTTCTCTGTCCCGTGGAAAAGTGTCTGGTTGAGTATTGATTTTAGAAAATGGTCATTCTAAGGAGACACTAGATACCTTGTTGTAGCTGTTGAAACAATTAAATCAAGTTCTGGATGAGAGCGGGAATCATAATCCCATGGTAATTTATAGGCACAGAGAGCTCAGCGCAGCCCCAGGTGCATAATACAGTATAGGAAAATCAGAAAGCAAGTCGGTCTGCCTTAGATGCTGAAACATGAAAAGACCATTGTCTTTAAAATCGTAGAAGATTGATTTTATCGTTTACCAGAGCACATAGCTAAAGGGCTCCAGACCAACTGGTAAAGTGTATAGCCATTTTGTATTGCTGTTTTCAGGGAGATTGTAGTGCACATAAGCTGTGTACCCACTGAAAGGAGTGCAGTAAGAAGATACATTCACATTGTCACTCGTAGGTACTGAAGAAGACGGGGATAGGGTGAAAATAAAGGAAAGACAGAAACTTTCATGTTGACAGAGGTTCCCATGTAGTTTGTGCCACGGAAAGGGATCAGTTAAAAAGTGCAAATATTGGTTAATCCTTCTGCTTCATATTAAAGAACATAACTAGATATTGTGCAGCACAGGAGGGTTTGCCTCAGCTCGGCGCAGTACAAGCTCCCTCACACGAGTGCTGTTGGAAGCCCCAGCGATTTGGAGTTAATCCACCTGGTCCTTCTGTCGCTGTGTTTGCCTCTCGGAATTGGCAGGTTAAAAACCGTCGCTGAGCAGCTGCCTCCTGTCTTGTTTGTATTCACAGTTACAGATGATGGGAAATGCCAGACCGTTGCTTTCAGTGCAAGCAAGCTGAAAGAGTAAACCATCGGTACAGTGCGGCACAACAAATCTGCTTTTTGAGCAGCGGCTGTCTGAAGGCCTGCCTCCGAGGACATGAACAGCATGGCATGGAGCTGGGAAATCGCTGGGCCTACATTGCCTTTCTCCGACAGCGAAGCAAGAGCAGGGCCACTTCTAGCTTCTAGAACCACGCCTACATTCAAAGAAATTAAAATCCCTTGCTTGCTTTCTTGTCCCAGATGGGAAGTTTGCCTGTGATACACACATGGAAAGAGCAGAGGTCTTCTTGTATATGGCATCCGTATGTTCCTCGAAAGTTAGCTTGAAATCCACAGTGGTGCCAAGATATTTGCAACTGTTGACAATTTTAGTTTCGTGCTCCTCAGTGACTCTGGTTTTGCAGTTGGTTGTTGCTTTCTTTAATCAATGACCATCTCTTTGGTTTTCAGTGCATTAAGTTGAACAAAGGAGTTGTTACACCCTTCACCAAAATAATCCTGTAATTTGGATGAGATATTTTAGAATTGAGGATCAGCTAGCCCCATGAATCAGAGCTCTTTTGAGTCTTGCAGAATACCCAGGGGCTTGTTTTTATTGGACTGCAGATTATGACTGTTTCCTGAATGCTGTTCTGCTTAATTTGGTAAAATAATTTCCTGCATGATTAGACCAATTGAAACTTCCATCTACTGCAGGCCTTATACATGTGGTTAAAGAAAAGTCCAAAACTCTTGAAAGCTGATTGGAGAGACCCTCATGAAGCATTTTTTAGACCTTCAGACTGGCAGAAACATAAATGCTGAAGTTCCACAGGCTGTCATGTCGTGAACTCTGAATAGCTGTAAACTTGGCTGCGGTTGTGAGTTTTAGTCATCAGCTTAACAAGTGTAATCCATCACAAGTGGATTCTACTGATTAATTGATCTATGCATGCAATTAATATTTAAATGATGGGTACTTGCTAATTTCGGTTCAATAATTTAGCCATGACATTTGTAAGCTTTGGCTTGCTGATTCTTTGCAGGTCCTGTGAACTCACCTTGTGCACTGTCCTGCTGTACACCTGCAGGCTACGATTCTGTTCAGATGTTTGTTTCAGAGCTCCCGTGCCTTCTGTTACTCGAGCAGAAGGGAGCTTGTGATTCGGGTTATCATTGTAGCAACATTGTGCACCATCAGGCTGGTCTTTTCCACAGCATTTGCCAGTAGGAAATCTGCATTCATGAAGTGCAGCACGGTGACGGTTGGACTTTTGCAGGTGCTTTTGACCAATCCTGCTTACATGGCAGTTGATCTTGTCCAACTGGTTCTTGACTGATCCGCATCAATAGAATGGCTGGGTACCCGCTGTCTCACATTCGCCACAATATTACATTGTACCTTAACAATGTTCAATGTTGAGGGCTCAGAGCTGTGTTATTTGCTAGATTATTTCATCTTGCACACGTTGTAGCTGCTGGCTGAGACAAGTTTTCAGGGCTTACTTTTACTGGAAATTGGTTGCGCAGCTCCGAGCCACAATAGGAGCAGGACTTTCGAGATGTCTGATAAG